ATATATATATATATATATATATATATATATATATATATATATATATATATATATATATATATATATATATATATATATATATATATATATATATATATATATATATATATATATATATATATATATATATATATATATATATATATATATATATATATATATATATATATATATATATATATATATATATATATATATATATATATATATATATATATATATATATATATATATAATATATATATATATATACGTACATATATTGCATTAAGAGTGTCAGAAATGCAATTATTGACAAAAATCACAGCATCTTCTGCGTTAGTTAACTTTCTGTTTAATTTTTCTAACGATTGATCATAAATCTTTTTCAAGTTTCTTGAGTTCAAAGCCAAAATTTTTATTTATGTTAGGCACGGTAGAACATTTAAATGCGTGATAGAGCAAAAAAGTTTCATTTGGAGTACTCTTCTCAAACTTATAGGTTGGATCTATCGAGAAATGTTGTTTAAAGAAGAATCAGAGTTAAAGCCAAATAAACACTGCCGATACGTTGGTACTCATTACAAACAATGAAGATCATCAAATAGAAAAACTTCTACAACGACTAAATTTATCAAAATTAAAGTTTACTATTGAAAAAACTACTACTTCTAGACGTAATAACACAAATGCTCATAATGAATTGAAAACCTCAGTATACACCAAAGCAACAAACTAAGGTTTATGTCTTTTAATGGAATTAGTGAATGTTGTCAAATATATCTAGAGAGTCCGATCCTGTTTTTGTAAACCGAGCCTATAGGCACTCTTCTGGTGTGGGAAACTAGGAGAACAAAACTAGATAGAGTCACTAAATTACTCACTAGTAATGAATATAAAAATTTCATGATCTAGAAAATAATGGAACGCGCCAAACAAAAATTTAGCAGCAGCAGCAACAACAACAACACTGCAACTAACAATAACAACAAAAATGACACAATAATATATTATAAGAACCACATGTCAACTGCTTTCGAACTGGATAAAAAATTCAAGAAAAGAATTATAAAGAATAACGTTTAAGCAATAAACGAAGACGATAATATTAAACTAAGAATATACTACTTTAACCAAAAAACGTCCTATCTTGTGATCAAATACACTTGCACTCATAGAACAAATAAATGAAAATTTTGGTTTTTAACTCAATAAACTTGACAATTATTTACGATAATAGAGCATATAATAATTTAATAATACCATTTAATAATAGAGCATATAGTAGTTAGATTTTCAGTTTAGTTTTTCAATTTTTCTAACGGTTGACCGTAAATCATTTTAAATTTTCTTGAGTTCAAAACCTCAAGCTTATTTGGAGTCCCCTCAATATTTGAAAATAATATTACAAAAAATTTTTTTGTCTGTTCAAAATATCGCTATAGGCTCTTATGACGATGATGATTCGAATTTTCACTGTCTTTTACGTCTGCGTGCAAAAGATGGTCCTGAATTTACACAATGGTTTGAACAAACATCATATCAATGGACTTCAAAATATATTCAAAATGAATCAAATCGTTGGAAATTATGCCGCAAAGCGTTTTCAGATCTGTTATAAGTGATATTCATTTGAGAAAGTATTATGCCATAATTTTAGACAAAACTGGTGACATTGTAATTAAAGAACAAGTCAGCATTTGCTTAAGAGTTGTTAATAATAAATTTATTTCAGAAGAATATTTTTTAGGATTTTATAACACGGACGCCAAAAATGTTGGTGCATTGTTCAAAACTTTGAAAAATGTTTTAATAAGGTTCAATTTTGATATCAGAGATTGCCGAGGACAATGTTATGACAGAGCATCTAACGTTTCTGGAATTCATAATGGAGTACAGATCAAAGTCTTAAAAAATATCGCCGTCTGAAATATTTGTCCAATTCAACAACCGCAATATTAGTTTAGGTTTTCAAGATGTAATATCTGTGACGTTAGAGTGCAGAGATGCAATCTATTTTGTAAAAGAACTTGTAACGTTTATCAAAAAATCAAGTTTAGCTTGTTTTTCTTTTTTCAACAAAGTAATGCAACAATTACATCATTGCGCCCATTATGTCCCACAAGGTGGACCATGCGTATATGTTGCATCAAGAGCGATTTAAACAACTGGACATTTTTGCTAAACTTTTTTGAAAATCAAAATTCTGTCAGAAATGAATATGGCGCCAAATGTCTTTGTTTTCTCACAAAAATGACATCATTTCGTAATTGTTTTGTGTTGCGCCGTTTGATTCTCATATACGATAAATTGGAAACTAAGTCGAAAGCATTGCAGTGTCTAACACCGTCTATGTCAAAATGCATAAACTCGTAGAAAATCTAATGCTATCACTTCAACAGGACTGATGCGATGAAACCTTTTCGTCCTTTTGGTTAAATACCACTAATGATGCAAAAATATTTAATATTGAAGATCCAAGTTTGCCACGGCAGCGAAATCGTCCGAAGCGTTTTACTGATGATAACGAAAACGTTCATGTGTTTGATTTGGAATCAAAAATTTTACATGCAGCAACAATTGACTTAAATTTAAATTGCTGAATTATATCCAGATGTGTCAAAAGACAGATTACTGGTGGTTGTCGTTAGAAATTGGGCAATTCCAGATATAAAATTTTTTTGACTCGTACATCTTCCATGTCATCAAAAAAAAGATTCATTATTCCCTAGAAGACTTTTAATGGTCAAGGGGTAACAATATCCAAGAAGCAGGAAACAGTGGAGGGATGTTGCTGAAAATCAATAAACCAAAAATAAATATACAACAAAAAATGACAACCTCACTTCCAACCCGGCGCTTAACCAACAACGAAAACAAAGAAGTAATAAAAACTAGCATCGTAAATAGTGACAAAGAAGAATATGATGCTATCGATGAAGGAAAGGAGACCAAGATGACCAACCAATTAAGAAACCTGACACCTAATTCGCATCAAAGTTCAATTTTACAACACCAAAGTTAATTTTTACAACGTCAAAGTTCGTCTTGACAAAGTCAATATTTCCCTATATATATACAGCAAGGAGCACTGATGATGATTCATTCGGATTCGAAATATGGCCTTATTTGCAGCATGAATTCGAAAAATAATTTTATTTTGAATTTTAATAAACCAAACGTTCACCAAAAAACTTTAGTGAGAAAAATCGAAAAAACAAACTACAAACATATTAACGCCAAACATTCGGTAGAATTTATAGAATATTGTAAAAATTATGGTCTATTACCAACATATATATATATATATATATATATATATATATATATATATATATATATACATATATATATATATATATATATATATAATCAAATTTTATTCAATCAATCCAAATTAATAATAATTAGGTAATGATTAGGAGACCAAAGCTAAAAGAAGACAAAATTCTTGTGTCGCAGGCCACCATTCACAAATTGTTCATTCTAACACGATTTTTTAAGTAAATTTATAATTCATGACAAAATTAACATAATGCACAATTTACATGAGTCTAATTAAATAAAAATTGTCCTTTTTTTCAATAAATGTTTCTCTCTGATTCCGGGACCGGTATGTTTTATATATATATATATATATATATATATATATATATATATATATATATATATATATATATATGTCAAAGATGTCAATGAAGATGTACTTGGAGTTGAAGTTCCCAACCAGCAAGACAGCCACAAACTCATTGTACCTACAAAATTCCACAAAGTTGTTGGTAACAAGACTGAATCTTTAAAACTTAAGGCAAAGAAGATTCCGCGTTTCCGGTTATACATTGTTAACTTTTTGGATTTCACGAGTGCTGATGTGATAGATAAGCTAAAAGCTAATCACATTAATGTTATCTCTTGTTATCCTATACAAAAAAAGAAACCAGATGATAATTCTGAATTGAAAGACAATGTTCTGGCAAATGCATTTAGAATATGTATTAATAAGCAAGAATTTGTGAAAATAAAAGATCCTAATATCTGGCCTTCAGGTTTTATCATCAGAGATTGGATATTCAACAAACAACCCAATCAAATCAAAGACCACACCATGGAGTCATCCAACAACAAAAACACCAACAAAGAACAGTCGACAGTGAATGTAGATAATCATGAAAAAACATCTACCAATGATGGCGGCACATAGTGATTTATTATCCAGACATGGCTTTCTCCGTGAACACTATAATGGACAATACCTTGAGGTCATCCAACACCATCAACGTTTCAGAGATGGAAGATACGCTTTCTTCCAGTAGCAAACTCCGTCAACTTGAGGACGTTGATCCTGATATTAATGTTTTTAATGATATTTCTCTTGACTGTTATTCAATTTTACCTGAGAATGTAAGCACGTTTGTTGATACATGTAATTTTAGTATTTTTCATGTTAATTGTCGCAGTCTACTTAATAAGTTTACTGAATTTAATATACTTATTAATTCATGTGGTTGTAGATTTGATTTGATGGCTGTTACCGAAACATGGTTAACTTCTGTTACGAATGATTTGGTTAGCTTGCCTGGTTATAATTTTGTGTGCAGGAATCGTATTGGTAATGTCGGTGGGGGTGTTGGTTTGTTTGTTAAAAATGGGTTAAAGTATGTAACTCGTGATGATTTGCCGTACCATTCATCTACTTTTGAATCGATGCTAGTTGAAGTATTTGTAAACAATAACACTAAGTGTTTGATTATTGTCTTATACCGTCCTCCGAGTACTGATATTTTTTTTGTTTTTAAATGATTTAACTTTACTATTTATGAATATTAAATCCGGTGCATTTAAAAATGTCTACATTACTGGAGATTTTAACATAAATTTACTCGGTGATGACTATAGACATAATTCTACTCAATTTCTTAATCTATTCAATTTTTTCGGTTTTATTTCATTAATTTCAGCTGCTACACGTGTTACTGTTACTAATAAATCTTTACTTGACAACATTTTCACTAATAACATTGCAAATCATATGTCTAGTATTATATTTTCTTCTTTTTCTGATCATTTTCCTATTTTTACATCATTTATTATTCCTAGTCTCGTTTTGCCTAATTCCACTGTTCTATCTTTTAAACATTCTGATTCAAATATTTCTAAATTGAATTTGTATCTCATAAACTATGATTGGAGTAGTATCCTGAGTTGTTGGGATACGGATTTGGCATTTAAATTATTTTCAGATGTTATTAAAAATGCAATTATTAACTGTAAAGAATATCGTAAAAAATTAACAAGATCCAGGTCTGTATCTGATAAATTAGCTTATGGTAAATATAAAAATATGTTTTCAAGGTTATGTAAACTATCTGAAAATATTGTTTATAATAACCAATTCATTAAATGTAAATCGAACGGTAGACGTAGCTGGGGTATACTGAAATCTTGTCTAGAAATTAAACATCCAACACCATTAAATATTATGATCAATAATAATTTTATCATGGACGATGCATTACTGTGTAATCATTTTAATAGTTATTTTTTGTCAACGAATAATGTTAATAATTCTACTCATTTTTCTGTTATTGATTCCGGTTATAAAAAGTATGTTCATGGGGTTTTGGATACATTTGTTCTGTTTGAATGCTTTCCGTTTGAAATCATTGATGTTAAAAATTTTAAAAATTCTATTAGTTGCGGTGATGATCTCATATCTAATTTTGTATTAAAAAATATTATTCATAGCATAATTTTACCGTTGCTTCATATAATCAATCTATCTTTTAAAAATGGTCTTTTTCCTGAATGTTTAAAAATTTCCAAAATTTTTTTTTTATTTAAATCTGGTGATCGTCATTCCATTAATAATTATCGTCCAGTTTCTATTCTCTCAAGTTTGTCCAAGTTAATTGAAAAATTGTTTTAAACCGTCTTAATACATTTTTTAATTCTTATAATGTTATTTGCACTAATCAATATGGTTTTCGTGAAAAATTATCTACTGAATTTGCTGTTGCAGATTGTAATAAATTATATTTCTCTTGCACTCGAATCTAAAAAATACTCTATAGGCGTCTTCATTGATCTTTGTAAGACCTGTGATTCTTCAAATCATAATATTTTAATGTCTAAATTATATTCTTATGGTATTCGTGGTTTATCTTATAAATGGTTTTCTTCATATCTGTCTGATCGATTTCAGTATGTTTCTATAAATAACTCTAAGTTTTTGCTTTCTTCTATTTCTTCTGGGGTTCCGCAGGGTTCTATTCTGGGACCTCTACTTTTTAATATATATATATTAATGATTTCATAAATTCTTCAAATATTCTTAAATTTTTGTATTTTCTGACGACACTACTCTTCTTTATTCTCATTCTGATATCAATACTCTGGTTTCCATTATTAACGATGTGTTAAAGCTTATTTATGAATGGGTAGTTGCAAATAATTTGCGTATCAATTTAGATAAAACTTGTTTTGTCTTGTTTGGACCAAAGATAAAAACTGACACTGTTTTTCCAATAATAATTTTAAATAATTGTACAGTTAAAAGAGTTCATTCTGTTAAGTTTTTGGGTATTAATATTTCATCCAACTTATCTTGGTTATCTCACATGAAGCTTGTTTCATGTAAATTATCAAAAAATTTAGGTTTAATTTATCGCATAAGGTTTAAATTTCCGAGATTCACTATGTGAACTCAATATAACTTTCTCATTTTACCTTATTTAACTTACTGCATTTCTATTTGGGGTTCAGCTCCTAAATGTAATCTTCATTTATTGACATTAGCTCAGAACTTTTTCATTCGTATTTATTTTAATTTACGTAAAATTGATCATATTACTCTATATTTTCATTTAGCTAATATTCGTAGTATTAATCAGTTATATACTGGCCGTCTTCTACTTCTTTTCTTTAAAATATATAAATTAAATTTCTGTCAATCGCTCTATAATGAACTTGCTGCTTTTAAGAACACAAGACGTGAAATCTTACGTCATAATCCTGGTTTCTACTTCTTTAAGCCTAGATCTAATTTTTTCCTTAACTCAGCATTATCTTCATCAATGCGTCTTTGGGATTCCTTACCGGATAATGCTAAGGCATCTCCTTCGTTGGATCTTTTTAAGGCATCAGTTTTAAAACTCATATTGTCTAACCATTTATTTTCAATTTTTGTTTATTAAATTATCCTTTGTTGAATATTTCCGTTTAATTTTGTTTATTCTTTAAAAATTTTGAATTTCCCTTTGTAATGTCTTTTGATTTCTATGCAGTTTTTAGTTAAGGTGGTCTACACATACATATGTATCTTGATCTCCGATGCTTTTGCCGAATAAAATTCCGTTCAAATTCCAAATTCAAATATATATTTGATATATATTATATATATATATAAATATAAATATATATATATATATATATATATATATGTCTGTTTGTGTGAGTGTGTGTGCGTGTGTGTGTATGTGTGTGTTGGCATTAATCAATTTAAAGTTTGTTTGTAAATTGTTCAATTTGTTAAAAATATCCTAGTTCATCATGAAAATTTAATGAAACTGTTGTTATGCGAATTCATTATGCAGATAATGCCTTGTTTCGATTTTTTCATAAATCATATTCAGTGCATGTTTGGTTTATCTAGTTTCTTTGAACAAACATCGATAGCCTCATATTCTTCTTTGTCACTATTTACAATCTCACTTCCAACCCGGCGCTTAACCAACAACGAAAACAAAGAAGTAATAAAAACTAGCATTGTAAATAGTGACAAAGAAGAATATGATGCTATCGATGAAGAAAAGGAGACCAAAGAAGATGACCAGCCAATAAAGAAACCTGACACCTAATTTCCATCTAAGTTCACTTTGACAAAGTCAATATTTCCCTATATAAAGCACTGATGATGATTCATTCGGAATCGAAATATGGCCTACAATCATATTAACGCCAAACATTTGGTAGAATTTATGGAATATTGTAAAAATTAAGGTCTATTACCAACATATATATATATATATATATATATATATATATATATATATATCAACATATATATATATATCAACATATATATATATATCAACATGTATATATATATATATATCAACATATATATATATATATATATATATATATATATATATATATATATCAACATATATATATATATACTAGAGCATTTATATATATATATATATATATATATATATATGTTTATAGATGCTTAAACGGATTGGCTCCGCAATATCTGTCCGAAATGTTGATTGACAGATCATCGATTTCTTTAAAAACTGACCTACGATCAGATCGGGGAAATTCGTTAGTGGTCCCGGTTACTAAATTAAAGATTGCATCACGTAGTTTTGCAGTTTATGGACCAAGGCATTGGAATGAACTTTCTTATGTTTTGTGCCGGTCTGGTCTGACACTTCCCCAGTTCAAATGTCAATTGAAGACATATCTTTTTTCCTTGTAGAAAATTGCCATAGTTGTAAAGCGCCTATGAGAATGTTTTTAATAGGCGATATTAAATATATATATATATATATATATATATATATATCTATATATATAGAGAGAGAGAGAAAGAGAGAGAGAGAGAGAAAGAAAGAAAGAGGATATATTACATTTACTAGAGCATTTATACGGCTTTCATTTTAAACGCATACGTAGAGAACGCGTACATTTGACATATATGACCATTCATGGACGATTGAACACGCATATTACATAATCTTCGCTAATCCGCAAACTTATACGCATGCAAACGTGCGTACGAGGTTTAGTCATTTACTTGATCGACTCTTTTCATGATGATTTATCTATGCTTCTTTTTTCCTAAAAATGTTTTAAAATAACATTATAAGCCACAAAGTCATTGAAAGAAAACCTTATCACCAGAACATTTTGAGCATTGCTATTATAAGTTCTTAGGATTATACCATTATAGACACCACGTAATGAAAATAAAAAAATCATAAACAAATAGTTTGGTTTGTTTTTATTTTTAAAACTTTTAGCAGACATTTTTTATCATAAATTTAAATTATCTCTAGTAAGATGGTAATATTTAAAAACATTTTAGTTTCATTTGCGATTTTTTCTAAGTCTAACATAGAAGTTTTACATAGAAGGCGAAGCGACTGGTTGTTTATGTCATTTGCTATCCTTCTTTTTCTTTCATTAATTTGA